AGGAATGCCACCAGTGGGAATCTTCAAATATGGTAACAGATAATTACTAAGGTAACAACGATATAATTAAACAACAACAAAATAGACAAGTGTTACTGCTAGCTTTACAGGGCTCTCAGTTGAAGAGAAAACAATGTCATTCAGTTTCAAGGAAGCTAAAGATGATTTTTTTTTTGTAAGGACAATTTTTTTCTAATGAATATGTAATTAAAAACATGTATGCATGTCATAGATAATGTCACACATAACAAAAATTATTACCACCGGATGTGAAGGTAAAAATGGTGCCAAGTGCTTCTTTACTCCAATAGGACCCATGCCAGGACCACCTCCTCCATGAGGGATGCAAAATGTTTTATGGAGATTCAAGTGGCAAACATCTGCTCCAATCCTACCTGGGCTTGTAAGTCCCACCTATAAACATGAACCAAGTGACCAAATACAACTTGATAACTAACATCATCTGAAAATTAAGCCAAAACAACCAAATTCCAAACCAAAAGCAACAAAGCATCAGTTTGTACAGTGCCCAACTTTGCATGACAATATGATTGAATATTTACAATGTAAAGACGTTCGTGGAAAAACAAACCTGTGCATTCATGTTAGCACCATCCATATATACTTGACCTCCGTTATCGTGAATAATCTTGCATATCTCATCAATACCTTCTTCGTAAACACCATGTGTTGAAGGATATGTTACCTATAGTTTAAATCAAAATGACCACAAATGAATATTTATAAAACTGGCCAAGATGGAAACACTCTTCCTCCAAATTCCCAGGTTATCCAAATAGTGCAAGTAAAATTCCATTATAAGAAGCAAGTTGTACCATAAGTGCAGATAAGTTGTCCTTGTGTGTTTCAGCAGCCTTCCTCAACTCTTCAATATTGATGTTTCCCTTGGCATCAGTTCCAACAGATACAATTTTCATTGCACACATAGCAGCACTGGCAGGATTTGTACCATGTGCCGAGACTGGTATAATGCAAACATTGCGGTGGTGGTCTCCTCTTGCCTATAGTGTTTCCAATTGCCAAAAAAAGTAAGCATCACAGAAATATTAAGGGCAATGATGTAAGGGAAGGCATTGCATGCAGCAAAAGGGAAACAAGCAACACAGAATTGAGGTAATCTGTTATTGATTGAACAGAAAAATAGAATTGTTAAAATTAAATAACAACTGAAAACCTTATATATCTAAAAGTAAATCAGAAGAAACTATGAATGCCTTATGCCCTAAAAAAATAACAGAAGCCACACAAGCCCATTAATTAACATTGTGCACAAAATTTACGCAAACATGTTCGTGATACCGATTAAAGTCACCATACCATGTGATATGCACGAATAACCATGAGTCCAGCATATTCACCAGCAGCACCAGCATTAGGTTGCAAGCAGAAGGAGTCGAACCCAGTGATTGCACACAAAAGGTTACCCAAATTTTCAAACATTTCCTGATACCAGATTTGCTTGTTAAGACACCAAAAAAATTCTATCCCATGTTTTCCTGAATAAAAAGCACTTTTCTTTTATATATCCTGTACATACCTGATAACCTTGAGCCTGTTCAATTGGTGCAAAAGGGTGAATGTTGGCAAAGCTAGGCCATGTCACAGGCATCATTTCAGTAGTTGCATTCAGCTTCATTGTACAAGATCCCAGAGGGATCATACTGTGGCACAATGAAAGATCTCTTGATTGTAGTCTATGAATGTACCTGAGCAACTCATGCTCAGTGTGGTACCTATTTAAGAGCACATAGAATTCAGGTAAACTTCCACAATGTAATCACATGAATTTAACATATGCGCAAAGGGATATACATGTTAAAGATAGGGTGTGTCAGATAAGGACTCTTCCTAATTAGTCCAGAAGGGAGTGCAGTCTGAACTTCTGGTGCAAGAGATGCGGCTGTGAAGGAGATCTGCATACAAACTAATGTTTTAGATGGCCTTATAGTGAAAACTAATGACAATTGATAATTATCAGCATGGTATACATATCAAAGCTTACAGGCTTGCTGTCAGAAAAAACTTTGAAAAGATTATCAACATCCTCCAAGGTTGTTGTTTCATCAAAGGCAACAGTGATCTGAAAAGCAATCAAGCTCCATAATCCAAAGACATGAAAACAAACTCAGCTGATTTGATGCAACAAAAAGCAACACTCACTGTGTTCCCATCAACAACCCGCAAATTTATTTCACTTTTGCGAGCAGCATCAGCAATTGCATGGGCATTGGCAGTCTTAATTTTCACGGTATCAAAGAACGGAAGGTCCTGAACTTCCACCGTTCCAAGTTTCTTCAATCCCAGGGCAAACACCCCAGCAAGACCATGAACCCTTTCAGCAATGGTCTTCAGTCCTTCAGGTCCATGATACACAGCATACATAGCAGCCATGTTGGCAAGCAGTGCCTGATCAGAAACAATAATGATCAAACAAAATCAACCAACTCAAACAAGACCAGGACATGGCTCGGGGAATACACTAATAGAAGGACACTAGTCCATTCCCAACAGGCTATTCAAAGAAAAATGAATTGAAACAATAATAGAAAGTGAAAATTTAGAAATGAAAAACATTGAGCAGTTTTTTGCACACCACAAGCCACCACCAATTATAAAATAAAACTAAGGCTATTGTAATGATGTGCTCACTTTCTCCTCCATCTGGTTTTCACTCCATTTCCTTCATATCCCTTTTTTCCTTCTTTGCCCCATGTATCTTCTTTTTTCCTTTTTTTTTTTTTTTTTTTTTACCACCTAAACCCATCCTAAAATGGGATAGACATCGAGTATTATTCTAAAACTAAAACAAGCCTTATATTTTGGATGGACATTAAGTATTATTCTAAAACTAAAACAACCCTTATAAATATCCTGCTGTGTGACTTTCTCTTTATTTAATTTTCATTTATTTCTTTCATTATATCACTTATCTGTCATTTTCTCTATTTATATTTTCCTTTCCTTTCCTGTCTCCCTTCCATTCCGGTAGAGCCCAAAACGGGATTTTTTTTACATGTTTCCAAATGAGGACGAGGAATGAAGGTGTTACCTGAGCAGTGCAAATGTTGCTGGTGGCCTTGTCCCTTCTTATATGCTGCTCCCTAGTTTGCATGGCCATTCTCAAAGCTGGCCTTCCACAAGAATCAACACTGACCCCAATGATCCTTCCCGGCATCATCCTCTTATACTCCTGCGAAGTGGCCAGGAACGCAGCATGTGGGCCCCCATAGCCCATCGGAACTCCAAACCTCTGGGCCGACCCAACAACAATATCCGCCCCCACTTCCCCGGGAGGCTTCAACAGAGTCAGAGCCAACAAATCAGTGGCCATAACAACCTTAACTCCATGAGCATGAGCCTCCTTCACAAACTCCCCATAGTCGAAAACCTCACCCTCAGTCCCCGGGTACTGAACAAGAACCCCACAAACATCACCGGATCCGTAATCGACATCCTTAACATCGGCAACAACAACGTTAATGCCGAAACCCGCCGCTCTGGTCTTGCAAATATCAACGGTCTGAGGGTGACAGTTGTTGGCAATCACAAACGTCTTCCTCTTCCCCTTGTGAATGTTGTTGCACATGGACATTGCCTCAGCAGCCGCGGTTCCTTCGTCGAGCAAGGAAGCGTTGGACATGGGAAGCGCGGTGAGATCAGAAATCATGGTTTGGAAATTGATGAGAGACTCGAGACGCCCCTGGGATATTTCAGCTTGGTAGGGAGTGTACTGCGTGTACCACGCCGGGTTCTCCATGATGTTCCGCAGGATCACGGGAGGCACGTGCGTGTTGTAGTAGCCCATCCCGATGTGGGACTTGAAGCACTTGTTCTTCGAGGCCAGGCGCGCCATGTGCGACGCCATTTCGGCCTCTGTTAGGCCATCGTTGAAGGTGCTGAACGACATGTCGTTGTCCTTCAGACGGATCGACTTGGGAACCGTGGCGTCGATCAGGGAGTCCAGCGAGTCGAACCCGCACGTCTGCGACATCTTCTTCTGTTCTTCGGCGGTGGCGGAGTTGTGCCGCCGGGGGAACGTGTCGCTGGGTTTGAGCGCCTCAACGGAGATGGATCGGTACGCGAGGCTTGTGTTGTTTTGGATCAAGTTGTCTGGTTTGCGTCTTGAAAGGGAGTGAGAAAGAGATGAGACGCGCCTCGAGTGAGAAGGATCATTCTTGGGCTGGTAGATCAGCCTCCTGAGAATCGCTCTGTTTGCGAGCCTCCGTGCACGTTCCATGAATGTGAATGAGGGGGGAATAATCGAGAGGAGGGTGTTTTATTGTTTGATTATTCCATTTGGTGCGTAAATTCTAAAATAGGATTGGAGAGAGAGAAAAAAGAGCATCGGTTTTGAGATCTGGTGTTTGGGGGTTGGTGACTGTCACAGTGTCAGTGGTTGGATGAAAATACGTTTGAAATTGGAAGTGTAGATTGAGATTTGAGATTGTTGTAATGAGGTACGAGATTAGTAAGTTGACGGAGTTAAACGGAGTAGTGAGCGGTGGGTGGGAGTGAGTGAGACCACACGCCAGCTATAAGAAACATGGGAGCATCACCATCGGGTTGGGAGATCTCTTCTTTCTTGTTTCGACAGGACCGTATTCCATTAGTCAAATGATTACCCTAAAAACGACTATTTATGTTATGCTATGAAATAATAAATGGATATTTCTTACCCTGCTATTATACTCCTCTGTTTCGTATAAAAAACATAACACAGATAGCAACTCAGAAGAAATGGGTTGTTTGGTTCTAATATTCTTTCAACTTATATTATATTAATTCAAGTAATAGTGTGATATTCCACGATTATGTTCAAAGTGATATTGGATTATGCTGGAGTTATATTAGATTGTCCTTATTTCTCGCTTATTATTTGATTATGTTACTATATTTTATGAAAGAAATATAATCTTATTTTTATTAAGGAATAAAATAATAATTATATGTATATATATTATTTAGGTTAAAATAATTTGTTACTTTTTATAATTTCATTTATTTTATCTTTTAATTTTTATAGTTTAAAATAAATAACTTTTTTATTTTTTTAATATTTATAATTTAATATAGATCTTTTTAATCTTTATATTTACAGTTTTTTGACCCTTTCAATTCTTATTATTAATTTTTTTAATGTTGTTTGTTTTGTATTAATGTGATAAATATTTTTAATTTTTTGAGAGAAAAATATCTCAATAATGGATAGAGTATATGAGAGTACAAAAAAAGGTACAAAACATAAAAGAAAAATCTAATTTAAAATAACTCCAACAAAATAAATCTAACATTAAAGATATAATTCTGTCATGTTAACATGTTACACAATCACTAGTGAAAAAAAAACTTTTAAAATCGGTTTCGTAACCGATTTTAAAAGAGCCGATTTTAAAAGAGACTTTTAAAATCGGTTAAATAACCGATTTTAAATGTTAACTTTTAAGATCGGTTATTTTATAACCGATCTTAAAAGTCTTGGCCCTAAAAAAATTAAATTGGAACGGGTCATTCTAGATTGTTAAAAAGGCCTAAAATTATACTTTGGAACGGGCCGTTCTAGCATAGTTTGGCATGAGTTAAAACTAATCCAGAACGGGCCGTTCTCCTTGGAGAACGGGCCATTTTCCTTGGAGAACGGGCCGTTCTCCTTGCAGAATGGGCCATTTCATATTCAAAATTTACCCAAAATGAATCTACAACTACAATAGAGACACGAGAAGAGCATGAGAAGACAAAAAGAGACACGAGAAGAGCATGAGAAAACGAAAACGAAAACAACAACGAAATTTACCTTGTGGGAGACTTTAGAAAATGAGAGCGTGAGAGAGTAAAAAAAGGAATGGAGGGAAAGATTAAAGAGAACGAGAATGGAGAGAAATATAAAAGGTTTCTGGCGATATTTTTAAAATCGATTATTTAAGAACCGATTTTGTATACTACATACAAAATCGGTTCTTAAATAACCGATTTTAAACGTAACACTTTTAAAATCGATTCTTAAATAACTGGTTTTAAAAGTAACACTTTTAAAATCGATCATAAAATAACCGATTTTAAAAGTACTTTTAAGATCGGTCATAAAATAACTGATGTTAAAATTTAACCGATCTTAAAAGTGTTCACATTATTTACAAAATTGCCACCGCGTGACTTTTAAGATCGGTCACCTTTTAACCGATCTTAAAATTTCGATTTTAAAAGCTTTTTTTTCCATGGTGAATAATTAACGATATGGATTAAAAATATAAAAAAATTTAAATATATGGGTCAAAAAATTTATCTTAAACTACGAGGACTAAAATTAATTAGAAAAGATAAATATAAAACTAAAAATTTCTTTTTTAAACTAGATGGGCTATAAAGTAAAAGGGACTTAAAAAAATGTTTAACCTATTATTTATTTTTAAGTAATGATATAAGTACAATAAAAATTGTATAACGTCATTTTTGTGTCTATCTTTCTATCATTTTATTTATTATGGAGAAAAAAAATATCTATTAATAATAAAGAGATAATTAATACAATAGTAATATTGTACTAGTAATATTACTCTTTATTTTTACATAAAAAAATCTAATTATATAAAATATGATTTTAAAATATTAACTTTCTTTTATTTTTCACCTAATTTCACTCTACCAAGTAATTACAAATTTTACTCTATTTTATTTTATTTTCTATCAAATTAATTATTATTTTCTTTTATTCCATTAAATTTCTCTCCAAATAAAGCATTGATGTTGTTGCATATTATAAAGAGAGTTATGTATAGAAGTTAATTAGTAATTTGTTTCTATATGTATATTTGTACTCTTTTATGTTAATGATGTCTCTTACCTTTTTGTTATTTTCATAGTCGACCTTAAGTATGTATGATTGAACATCCTAAGATCTCCGAAATATCATAGTTGTCTTTAAAATTTGTTATGTATCGAAAAAAGTGGCTTTGTTTGCCTGTAAAAACTTAGAACGAACTTAATTATATTATCCATAAAAAATTATACAAATGCAATTATGCAAATATTTTTACGATCGTTAGTTACTTACACATATTTATTATCAATTATTTTTATTATTTTATTATTATTTATATAAAACACACAGAAATAAAAAAAAATTACCTTTTTTATGCTTGTTATAATAATGATAATGTTTTTTGTTTTAAAAAAATATAAAAATAACGATGATAATTAATTAGTTTGAATAATTACAGGTTCAAATTTTAGTTTGTATAAAGTGATCATAATCATCTGTATTTGTTTTGATATAGTTAGTTTGAATTTCTTTTAGTTTTATATTTCTTCTATGTTTTATCAGTTTGTTAACCTGATCTGGGATGTTGCCTGTAATTAACATCATTTAACTTGTTAATGCTCTTTAGCATTCAATAATTATAATAATTAGATTTCATCTTAAACATATAAACTACGCTCAAAGAATTAAGGTGGTAATATGAAACTTCTCAACAATAATACTTAATTAATAATGTTATTTATATATTTATGAAAATACTACTATAATAATATCAAAATGTTGAACTCGATATTCTTGCATATGGTATTAGGTTCAAGTATTAGAAATGGAAAAGATATGATTGAGAATGAAGACTATATTAAAGGTGACTAATTAATTTCTTGGTAGAGATTAGTAATTGATAAAATTGGTGAATATTTTACATAGTATGATTAAAAAAAATTTGTTATATATTTTTTTAATTAATAGAAAACATTACAACAACAACAAGCATGAAACCTAAATTTTCATTCATCTACCTGAATACCTCAACCACCAAAAAGACCTTAATAGTTCATTGCTCATGATCCTCACATAAAATTCATTATATAATAAATAAAGTTATTGTAAAAAAATTATATTAAAAGCTATGTTGTTAACATTTTTGTCCTTGTTAATGATGCAAGAAAGTAGTTTTTTTTTATATTTAAAAGTGAATAAATTAATTTAGTTTATTTTAAAATTAAATATATTTTTAGTCCTTAAATTTTTAGAAATTTTTATTTTTAAGTTCTTGAACAAATTTTATTTGGATTTAGTCTCTAAAATTTTATTTTATGAATAAAAATTATTGATGTTAGAGACTAAAAATGTTATAAAAAAACCCAGGAACTAAAAGTAGTAAAAAAAATATTAAGAGACTAAAAATAAACATTAACAAAAGTTTAAAAAATAAAAACAAATATTTTACTTTTAAATATTACAAAAAGTTGTATTCATTTAACATTTAATTTCAGGATAAATTATGCCATGGCTTGTAAAAATATAAGGTAAAAATTGTACGTGGCATGTCATGATAACAGAATTAAGAAAAATCCAACCCAACCACAATTATAAAACAGAACGTATAGTCTTCGGTACGGAAAATGTGGGAAAGAAAATGAACTGTTTATCCCTTAAAAAATGCGAGTCTCTCTATATTTCTGAAGAAAGTGTTTGGATTACTATTTATTTATTCTTTTACTGCAAATATCTGTTGAACTGTTTTTACGAATTTGCACCGAAATGAAACATACTGTAGCAACATATATATTAAGTTTGTCGAGCGGACACCACAGAAGAAAAAAAAACAATTAATAATCTTTTGGACCTATAGATATATATTAGACGATCATGAAAGGTTAATTAAACTCTTTAGATTAGTTAAAATCAGCTGTATTGAGATTATTGATAGGGATATTAGGTCATTATTTTTTAGTTACGAGTATATTTAATGAGAAGAAGTTTTATATCTTGTTTTTATTGATTATTTAAGGCATTTACATATATAACTCTACATCAATATTGATATTGTGTACTTTAAACTTACATATTTATGATTTTGATTTTGATTATTAATTAATATTGATATTATTTTATAAGTTTTTATTTTACTCTTATACTAACATATAAAATCTTATTTACATTTTAACAATGACAACAATGATGAATTATTTTTTATTTGTATATTTTGTAGAAATGAATATATTTTTTTCATAGAAACTTAATCTAATTTTATTTATGTGCTCCCTGTTTATAGAACAAACTTTTATTTGTTTATTGCTTAGTCATTGTTAGGATAATGACACTAATGATGAATTATTTTATATTTGTGTATTTTCTAGAAATATATTTTTCTCATAAGACCTTAATCTAATTTTATTTATGTGCCCCCTATTTATAAAACAAAATTATAATACAAATATTCAAATAAAATATCATCATATTCTAAAAATAAAAAAATTTAAAATAATTAAAACAAATTAAATATAAATATTTTAAAACATAGATAATTTTTTTAACAAAATTAATTTATTCACTATTTTAAACTATTTGGATATAAATTCCCTACTGAAGAAATATTGTACTTAAAAGTAAAGAAAGCCTGGAGATAAATCCATGAGAAGCCTGGCCGCCTCAGCTACTTCATCGATCGGAAATACTTGCGGGAAAGAGAATTATGGCTCCAACTTATAGCAAAATCCTTCAAATCAATCCTCACTTTGTCTTCCTGAGATGTTCCTGCAGCACTGTTAGTAGTAGTAGCAGTGGCCTTAATTGCACTTATTCTTGAACCGTGTAAAATGTTTTGTACGATACTTCTTTTTCTTATGATGCA